CTGGCGGGCTCGGGGGGGCTTTGTCGCCATAGGCTTGTGCAGCTCTGCTGCCGAGCCATTGGTTCGTTTTTTATACACTGCACGAACCAATGGCCGTGCAGTTTCACTGCATGATATAAAAAAGGCTTCAGTTCAGGAGAAAAAAGGCTTTTTCCCATAGCGTCTAAAGCAAGAAGCTTTACTCGTTCCCGTATCTCAGGTAACCGAGGTTACGTTAGTAACCAAGTATGTTTTATTTCTCATAAGAAGGAATTTTAAGAAACTGCATTGTGAGACAATAGTGTCATTATTCAGCTCAATTTAGTCCAATGTTGTTTCAGTTTAGTTTACATAATGCTCCGAACTCAAGCCAATGATTGATAAGATGTTTCTGTGTGTCGGGAAGCTCAAACAGCCTGTCTCACTGTGTTGAATCAGACGATAAATGGTTTACTTTTAGTTGTCTCTGCATATTAGTGTTTTTACATCAGAGAAATTGCACAAGTCATCGTCAAGCGTCTCGGAGCAGAAGTGAAATCTATTCCTCCGCTGGTTTATGACGTTTGAGTCCGCAGCAGGCATTAGTCCCGTAGGGGCCTGTGGTCTCCTCGTTGGCTGTCATAACATCGGACTTTTCACACTGACTTATGTTGAGCAGACGCACTGATCCGTCCTGCGGGCCTGTTCGATTTCAAAGTGGCGGTCCCCTGCCAGAACAGGGCCTGTGGTGGTGGAGAAGTTTACTGTGGGCCCTTCAGCTGCAGCACTGCCCTCATCCACTTGCTCTTATATGCTTAAAATCTTACTCACACCCACGGCCTTCCAAGTTTCCATGAAAATGTGAGTTATGCTTCAAATGTCAGGCTTTTCCCTTTTCCAACAACATGTGGCGATTAAACCAAGAAAGGAAAGCAGTTTAGAACTGTCATTAAATTAAAATTCACATCATATATCTTCTAAATGCATGCTATTGTGAACAATTTATCTGTGCATGTTTCTTTTTTTTTAGTGTTTTAACCTTGTTTAATCAAAACCCAGTTAAAGGGTTAGTTCACCCAAAAATGAAAATTAGCCCATGAATTACTCACCCTCAAGGCATACTAGGTGTATATGACTTCCTTCTTTCAGACGAATCCAGTCGGAGTTATATTAAAAATTGTCTTTGATCTTCCAAGCTGTTTAATGGCAGTCAGCGGGTGTTGCAGAAGAAAAAGAAGTGAAATAAAGCGCATCCATCCATTAAAAAAAAAGTCTCACATGGCTCCGGGGGGTGAACAAAGGCCTCCTGTAGTGAATCGATGCTTTTTTGTACGAAAAATAGCCATATTTAAAACGTAATAATCAATTTAATCTAGCTTGCGCTCACTGTTGTACATGGTAGCAGCTCCGGGTGGATGACATAGGACGTTGGCGTTTGGAATTTTCCAAAAAGATTGGAATTTTAAATAAACCCTTCTAGCCCGACATAAGACCCATGTCTTATGTTTTTGATAATGAGTGTCTAACTCTACATAATCCTTTACATAAACTATGATACTCAGACTGGAGGATGAGTCAAGCTCTTAAGATGTTCATTTTAACTTCACATTCCCCATAGAACTGATCCGTCAGCAGGGCTTTGGGATGCTGGGTGGAATTGTTTGTGTTACCATGGTAACACTCACCTGACCTTGTTTGCTCTCTTGTCTTTCTCTGGCTCCTCAGGTATATCCAGATGATGCTGGTCATGTGTAATCCTCTACAGGTGAGTTAACCTGAAATCAAAATAACCTGTTTAATGGGCATTCCTGGTCTTATTGTGCATGATTCAATCAGTGCATGCTATTTCAAATATATTTGTCTTTGTCTTCATAATCCTACACCAAAATAGTCTGACTTAATTAATGTGGAAAGTTTACAAAAAGGTTCAATTTGTTAGCATTAGTTAATGCATTAGCTACTATGAGAAATACATTTTTACAGCATTCATTAATCTTTATGTTACACCATGGAAAAAAAATCCACCTATTTCAACTATGTAAATTCAGTTTCTGACTTTAAGTATAACCAACTTGGTTGTACAAGTAATTTCAATTCAAATTACATTAAACCAACTTAAAAATCATGTGAAATGTCATATACCTTCATATAGCAAAAGTTCAAATTCACTGAAATGGATTATGTTGAAAAACTAAGTGACTTACTGATCATTTCATTTTTCAGTTAACATTTGTTGTTGTTGTTTGTTTGGTCAGTTCACAGTGTATTAGCTAAAGTAAATATTCAGCTTTTGCATTTAACAAAATATAGCAAATGTTGAAATTAACAAACTAAGATTAATGAATTCAGTACAAGTACTGTAGAGTAGTTAACTAATGTCAACAAATTAAACCTTATTGTAAAGTGTTACAATTATTTTAAATTGTCAGATGAGTTCAGACTTGTTTTCACAATGAGTTTGCTTGAGAAAAATGTCAGAATATAAGGGGAAATAAAGACTGGATGTGTGTGGTCTGTTGCCTGCAGGTGTTTGGAGTGGACGGGGTGAATTTCAGCGTGCACGTGGAGAATCAGACTCGTGTACGAGACGCCATGAGCCGGCGACATCATCGTGTGTACCAGCTTTACAGCCGCACCAGTGGGAAACACGTCCAGGTGATCGGACGCAAAATCAGCGCCCGCGGAGAGGACGGAGACAAATATGGTAACAACACATACACACATAAGAAAGACCACACACACACACACACAGGAAACAGGAAAAGACAAAGACTCGGATACTGCTGATACAGTGATTCACAGACAGAGAGAAAAAAAGCCAATTAATTCTGTTTTCTTGTAGGTTTTTGTTGACAGTCACATCATTACAATAATATAAACCTATTATCTTAGATTTTAGCCACAACACCATAATTCCCACTGGTGTCAGTTCCAATATCTACAAACAATCACACATTTTCATACTCTAGATATCAGTATTGGTGACTGGAAATCCTTTGTCAGTCAATCAGTATCTTCGTTTACTCCCCCCCCCATCCATCCATTCATCCATCCCCCTCTCCTCCTCTGTTTCAGAAGCACACAATCAATGGATGTGAAAGTTGAAAGAGGATATCTGCACTCAGGTCTAACAATGGGCCTGTTTTATTCATGGGTGAATCTCACAAAAACATCTAAAATGCACAGAATGTATGAATGTAATTTATTTATTTATTATTTCTTTTTTGTATTTTCAGAAATAATTTTCAGAATAATTAAGCATGTTTTTACCTCAAATTCTTATTATTGTAATGCATGGATACTTTGTAAAATTATTACAAGACTTTAATTAGCAGGTTGTTACAGCTAATGAAAACTAAAATGAAAGCAATAAAATATTCATTAATTGAAATAAAATAAATGTTAACGGAAATAAAATTAAAAAAAAAAAACCTGAATCTATTTTAGCAACATTTTATCATTTTCATTTACTAAAATAGCTAAGATATAAATAAAAAATACACGAAAATGAGCCTATTTTCAAAAATAGTGGAGTGTTCCTTTAATAGTGCCAGTCAAGGCAGATGCTCAAACAGATCCATTGCATCAAATTATAAACACTAATTTTTTACGTCATTGCAAAACCAGAGCTCACAGTGATATTTTAGTAACGTCCGTCTGTCTCTCTGCCTGTCTCTTTACAAGCCCAGCTCGTAGTGGAGGCAGACACCTTCGGCAGCCAGGTGCGAATCCGAGGGAAGGAAACTAATTATTACCTGTGTATGAACCGCAGAGGGAAACTCGTAGGCAAGGTATACTTCACTGCTGATTTCTTTCACTTTCTTTCTTTCCTGTATCACCTATTGAAACAAAGTTGAGGCAGGATATGAATATAGAACTTGTCACGTTTTAGAAGTAGCCATTTCTTTCTTCTGTGGAGCACAAAAGATGACATTTTGAAGAATGTTGGTAAACTAATGGTTTCGTGTTCCAATGTGTTCCATAATATGGACAAAAATGCCATGAAAGCCAATGGGACCCGAAGCTATTTGGTTACCAACATTCTTCAGAATATCATCTTTTGTGTTCCACAGAATAAAGTCAGTCATACAGGTTTAGAAATAACATGAGGGTGAGTAAATGATGCAGATTTTTCATTGTTAGGTGGACTATCCTTTTTTTGTTTTAAAAGACAAAATTTGCTTGGCTGCTACAATATTTTATTAAAATATGCTTTCAAATAAGGTAAAACAGCTCATCCCTAATTATTGTGTTACCTTACCAAGTGTCATTTTTATTTAAGAACCAATATATGTATTTCTAGTTATGGCAAGAGCTAAAATATTTTATCAGATAGAAATGGCTGAGAAATTGCTGTTGTGAGTTTAAAAAATGAACTGGAATTTTTTTTTCACTTGTGGAATTATTACATTAAATTTAAAAAATGTAAATGAAAATGAAATTGTTATTATATAAATGACTAAGAAATTGCTATTTAAAAATAATTTTTAAAAAATTGCAAAAAGTAATGAAAAATAAACTGTAAAAATCCTGTAGTCAAAGTCAAAGTTTATTTATAAAGCACCTTTTTAAAAAACAGCAAATGTTTATCAAAGTGCTGTACACACATAAAAGAATAAAAATGTCAAGTGAACTACTGTAAATTCAATTTTGAAACTTGTGGAATTAAATAATTAAATTATCATTATTATAATTATTTTTATATATTAGCACTCATAGTTTGTGTAAACAAAAACGAGCAAATTTGTCAATACAGCAGAAGTAACAAAAAAGGATACTGGTAATTTGCTGTTTCTAAGTTTACAGTCATTTCTTAACCCTAAAACACAGTGTAATGCATAATTCAAAACATGAGGAAAAACTCCTGTGAAAAATCAATACATTTCCTTCATATTAACACAGTACATTAAGTCCTATTTTACATTATGTGCAATATTAACCTACATGGAATCAAAAAGATTGAGAACAACTAATGCAGGAAATCTCAAATCTAACAATCATATCTGTGAATTTTAGTCCACGTTTGGGATCTTTAAATGCATTAACATACAACGTTTATGGTCAAGCTAACACATTTGTCTCCATGTGTGTGTATGGACTTTTCTGTCTCCCCAGAAGGCCAGCAATCGTAGTGCAGACTGTGTCTTCATCGAGAAAGTCCTGGAAAACAACTACACAGCGCTAATGTCGGCGCGCTACACTGGGTGGTACGTGGGCTTTACCAAAAGAGGGCGCCCTCGCCGTGGTCCGCACACGCTTCCCAACCAGCAGGACGTCCACTTCATGAAGCGTTTCCCACCCGGAGAGCAGCCGGATTTAACACCATTCCGCTTCACCACCGTCAGCAAGAGGAGCAAGAGAGTCCGAGCGGCACGACCGCGCTAATGCCGATGCCAATGTCCCACTGCTAACGTTTGCATGAGGACGAGGAACAAACCAAAAGACAGTCCCAGTGAAAATGACACTACTAATGCGAAGCAGGACCGTCTTGTCTTATTTGAACAGACGATGCGATAGCATCACTTTATATTCCACTGGGTTGGACCTCTACAACCCTAATAATAAATACTAGCTAAATTACACCAGAGCTGTGGTTAAGACAGCTTACTTCAGACACGGAGATGACTAACCAAAGCAAACACAAGCAAACGTCTGGCCCAGCAGATGAGCGGAGGAAGCATTGGGCTGCGCATCCAGTGAGCGGCCCACAATGAAGACATGAAACAAAACACAAGCACATTGGCCTGTAGACGCCGATCGTGTGGCAACTTTCCTAAGACAAGAAGACTTGGACGTGATCCCGCCTAAGGGAGAGGAGCAGAAATCCCTGAACCTGCGGAAGAAAGAAAGAAAGATTGGAAACTAAGACAGAAGGGCTACTGTTATATGGGAGCTCCTGGGATAAGACCTGCCTTAAAGGACACCCTCAAACAAAAATGAACATTTGGGCATCATTTACTCACCTCAAGTCGCTCCAAACCATATGTTTTTTTTCCCCCCACTGCAATAGAGAATAGCACGTCTGTTTTTCAGACTACAGTTCATAGTTAACATGTCTGTCAAGCTCTCGAAAGGACAAAAAAACACCATAAAAAGTTCATTATGACACATGCATTATATTCCGGGTCATGCAAAATCATGCAACAGCTTTAAGTTATTATTAATTATTATAGCTTAATAAAATCCAATAAATATTTTGTTATTATATAATCTATATTAATATTATTATTCATAAAAATGAAATGTATTATTATTTTTTATGACTTTTGCATCAGTGACGTCAAAGTATTGGAGTGATTTTGAAAGAATGCAAACACAAATTCATGTCCATATTACAACAGTACGACAATAATAATTTAAATTAGCAAAAAACGGTATAAGCGTCAGATCTTTACTTCCATATTGTGACGTTCATTTAAAAGTGATTTGTAGACATGGAAAAGTAATGGAAATTAATAAATTATCAAAAAGTCATGGAAATTTATATATATATA